TATATATATATATAACTATAAACTCTTCAGGCTAGAAGCAACAGTTCTGATTCAAACCTATCTCCATAACTGTCTCAACACAAAAATATCTCTTTTAAGTTTTCTTTCTTCACTTCTTCACTCCAGATAAAATATCATCTGAACTACGTTCACCTCGAAATCAACTTGAATAAATATCAGAATGCCAAGCAATCGATTGGCCTTTTTGTCAGTCGATTTACTTCCATTTCTGTGAACTCTGATTCACCCAAAAGTAGAAGGGGCAAGATGAGCCTTCAACGACGAGAACTCGATAAGACATCGTACAACATTCGGCCGATTCTAATACCAGTTTGACACTTGGAGATCGATGAGAATGGAAAAGTATCGTACACAGAGCCGGTAGAGAAAATTATTCAGCCGATGCGCGTTACGTGTGGCCCGGTCATAAATCACGGACATTGGAAGCGAAGAAGGCGGCCAGGCCGCCGATACTAATCCGTGGAGAAAGACAGAGCTCCCGATTACAGTTTCATATTGAATTTTTCATTGGGACCCCGCTACGTGGACAGCCTCTTTCATTGTAATTAGATATTCGAGCCGGTGAATAACGACACTACGATCTGCGCGCAATCTGGCTTCTCTTTCATTTCTTTTCCTTCTTCTTCGCTTTCTCCTTTTTCCATAAGCTATTTTTTTTTTTATTTCCCTACGATATGCTGAGACACAAAGTCAGCTCACGTTCCGCGGGCCGTGCGAACAGAACAGGTAACTCTCGAAGGAACTCCGGCAAAGTATCCTCTATTAAATTACAGACGACCAGGCGTAAATCTTCGCAGAGGCGTGCGAATGAACGAGTGAGCAAGCGAGTAGACTTCTCACTTGCGTGATGGAAACTTTGTGTTCCCTTTTCTTTTCTTGCCATTTTTTTCTCTATTCTTTTTATATTTTTTTCCTTTCGAGAAAGCTTTGTATAATAGACACCGGGTACATCGTCGCGACGTTGAGGATCGCGCACCCTCCGAGTCACGAATGTTCTTAAAGGAGTAGAAACTTTTCCAAACAGGATCGTTTATTAATTCTGATCTCATCCAGATTATTGCACTTCTTCTTGTATCCTTCTTTGTCGATAGACATCCAATAATGTTTTCTGAAAATTAAATTTATATTATTAAAATTATTTCTCTTTTTATCTTTCAATAATATATTCTAATAATAATTTTTTTTTAATTATTCACACAATATCTGACTAAAATCTAAATATTTTTATATTATCTCCATAGTAATATCTATAGAATACTTGATAAAAAACTCGCTTGGAAGGTATTATCAACAGAAAACTGCTCATCCAAAGCAACTTTTTAGTTGGGCAAAAAGAAAAGAAGAGGAGGAAGACGAAGCCTGGAGAAGTTGCCGAACTGCAGGATACGTCACGATCAAAGCGAAAGGTAGCCCGCTTTGTAACCAGGATACGCGAATAGGGACAAAGAAGCTATCGCGGCTACGGGAATTACGTATACAGAGTGTCTGGGCGGAAAAGAAACGGCGACATAGCGGAATCTGGAGAGCATAAAATGGGAATTGTTAGGAACTTCACGCTCCACCGCCGCAGGCACATTTATCGCTCTCTCTCGGTATCGACGGGGGTCTATCCTTAAGTTTCTCACCGATTGGCGTGCTTCACGATGCTTCAAAATGGAGACGATTTGTAGAGGAAGTGCCGAGCTTCGATCGACGTTATCGTGATTTCTCGTAATTTATTATTTCATCGTCGAGAAAGTTTTTCTTTGAGTCTGTTTCACAAACGAAATTTCCATCCATCGTGTATATATATAGACGTATATAGTAGTATTTTCTTGTAATTTAGTTTGATGAGAATCCAATGAAACTGTTGACGATTCCTGTAATAATAGATAAAATCAATAATGATATATATATATTTTTTGAATATTGATATATAAAAATGAAAGAGATAATTAAAAATAACAGTTAAGAGCTATTCAATGTATTCAGCTATTGAATATAGTACATCCAATGAATTGATTCTGTCTACGCATTGTCTACGTTTGCATTTTTTGCACAATACCAGGATTTTCTTTACTGTTCGTGATGCAACACCGTGCTGATTCCTCCTTCCTTTTCCTTCCATCGCTTTCCTCCATCTCCATTCCACTTTAAATCTGCAGGGCGAAGGGATACACTGTATCGCGAAGGATTCCCTTTGAACCTCCTTTAATAAAATTGAAGTCCCGGAAACGATCTCTCCTCATTAATCTTTTTAACAGAGGGAACCGAGGCTACCGCTCGTCAAAGCGTTTATTTCCGTCTTTCGCGTCTATTACTACGATCTGCAAAAC